TTTTGCGTGATCGGCGTTCCATACATTTGCGCATGCGTACTAGGTCATTCGCCAGCAGCGAGTCGACTCCAGCACCGAGTCGCCAGCAGCGAGATGTCACTGCAGCAAAACGTCTATCTCTCTACGGCTCTGAGCCAGTGGTGACAACAAAAGCGCCCTCAATTTCTTTTTGTGACGATTCTGCTTTTATTTCTTATAGTTACTGTAAAAAATATGCAATAAATGCTTGGGAAAAACGCTCAGAATTAAAAAAGACTCTGAGTTAATTGGAAAATGGTTTAAACCTAATGTATTGTTGCTTTAAATTTTTGTTTTCTTTATGAGTTTATACAGTATGTATATAACAACAACAACAACAACAACAACAACAGCAACAGCAGCAGCAGCAGCAGCAGCAGCAACGCAACAGCAGCAGCAGCAGCAGCAGCAACAGCAACAGCAACAGCAACAGCAACAGCAACAGCAACAACAACAACAACAACAACAACAATAACAATAACAATAACAATAACAATAACAATAATAATAATAATAATAATGATGAACCACCGGCTATCACCATTCCCTATTTAAGGCCAACAGAATTTTTTCATATTCTCCTGTTCACTGTTATCTTGTCAGAGAAATCTTACCGAGACGTCGATTCAACCACTAGTGGTTTATCTCCAAATCCATATTCTTACATTAATTGCTTTAATTATTGATACTCTCCATACAAACCTGCATGAAATAATTATTAAGATAATCATGTCATCTTAATCGGATGTATTTGATATAATTGTTAGCCTCTGATCCAGACGGGCATGTTGTTCGTTGCCGATGGGCGAGCATGGCCAAGGGTGAGTGTCCTGTGCCAGTAGACGGAAACAGTGTATGTGAGAGTGCTACAGACAACGCTATTCTAGATAAGGTTTGTCAGCATTTATTTATTTACCTATAAAGGTGCATTTACATTGAATCTTAAAGCCTACCAAGGCGAATAGAAAATCGAACTAGTGTGTAGAATAGGGACGCTGGTGTTCAGCGCTTCGGAAACGTAGTCCGAATTTCGGTTCCGATCCTGGGTGACACCCCATACACTAGCAGCCTTCGCTCTAGAGAGCCAAAACTACTGGATTGCTCTGTCGAGTACGGGGTGCAATTTTAGTAGATCTACACTTAATATTCAATACATTCATTTTCGATAATGACGAACATTTGATTTTTATAGGACCGTTGCGAACTTGAGATTCCAGTGCTGGGTGAGGCGGGATGGTATGGAGCGTCTATCATGGTTGAAGACTTCATTGATAAAGATTCAACAGAACCGCTCAGTTCGGTTCCATTTCAATTTCTTCTGAACGTAACGAAACGTAAGGGTGCATTTCACTTTATCTTTGCAAGTAGCATACTCAAATCATTAGTTAGAAAATGTAAACCAGCTTGCTAACGTTTCAAGCATGAAAACTTTAAAAAATATATATATAGATGAAATAGAAGCCTCGGAGCACGTCACTGCATCATCGCGATGTCGCGTCGCCGACAGATCGGATTTGTTGAAAATCGATCCGCTTATTATACTGCCACCTGCGGTCATTGAGTGGACTGGCATTCGTCGGCGAGCTTGGCATAGCTTTAAATATAAGGATATAAAGACGTCGTTAAGGCTACGAGTTTGTATTACCTGGAATAGCCTCCATGCTTATGACTAAAGCCGGGCACTGCGCCCGACGGTCGTCGACCGACTCCATTCTATGGACAATGCAACGCATTAATAATAATAAATAAATTCGTCAGCAGAAGTTTGGCCGGCCGCCGGCTACCACAGTGTGTACCTGGGGTTATATCGTTAACACTAAGTAAACGCATGTTCTCTAAAAACTAATCACTTATTGAAGCTCAAAATATTATTGCCTTTTATAATTGATTCTATATTATAATTATTCCTAATTTTAGCGGGAAGCTGCATAGGACCATCGCTGATTGGCCCAGAATATGAAGTGATACAACCTGGACAGAAGTGGACCGGACAAATAACAGCTAGGCTTCCTTCAGATTCAGAGGGATCTAGGTAAAATTATATAACAAAACGATACATACGTATATGAATTATGGAATGGAGATGAATACTTGGTGGTTAAGATGCTTGCCTTCTAATTCTATGATTCTAGGATCAATTCCTGTCAATGTTGTAGGATTTTTCTCACAACTAAAAACTACTCCACTCCCTAAAGCCTCATCATGGGATTTACCGTAAATGCTCGAATAAACGCTGCTCTCGAATAAGCGCCGCTCTCAAGTAAATGCCGCAGCGCTTAATCGAGAGTATATATTACCCTGTGTGTAATGAAACAGGGTTTTAAATACAATGTATACAGTGTTAAAAAAATTAATAAAACAATGAAGACACAACCATTTCTACGTTTATTTACGATGACGTAGGACCCACGATACTGGCCTACTGAACTTCGGGAATATGTGAAATAGGTAACATGGTAACGGGCATGGTAAGCGTCAAGCCAATATTTTTTTTTTAAAGCGCCGCACTGAAGCCTCCAGAAATTGTATAAGATATTTCGAGCATTTACGGTAGTTTATGCAATTAGGCATGGTTTGTAAAGCATTTTCTCTGTGTGACAAGGACAGTTATTAAGCTCGCTATTGGCTTGGTAATCGTTAGTCCGTGTGCTTAAATAAGCAATAAAACACTAAATAAAAATAATAGAATTTTAATATAAGTTGATGTGTGTACATAGAAATTTATTCATATATTATAAATATTAGAAAATGGTACATTTTGTTTTAGAAAACAAATAGCTTCCTATTTTCGCTCGGTTGCTGTACCAACTGAGATGAAAAACTGGTAATTGGTGATTACATGTGCATCAGACATTATCGCCAAGCCCCTCCCTGTTGTCGCTAAGGTATGTTCCATTTTAACAGCGCAAACATACGTAAACTTGCAAAACGTTTGTGGGACATGTGCGTATAACTGGTTATTAAATAAGACTTTCTGATTGGTCAGTTGCTACGTTTGACGCTACTGTAATTGGTGGGTAAACCACAAGATGGTAAATGCAACCGAACGGTAATCGTTAAGCATTATGGGTTCGGATTCCGATAAAGGCAATTGAGTAATAATTCTATTGGAAGTTTTATTAAACGAGAGAAAAATATAATGCATGTGTGCATTTTATCTTCACAGCATCATAGCTTTGCTGATGAGTCCGCCGACAGGTATGACGTTTGAAGTTCAAACTTCTTTACCAGCTCCTGAAGCGACCGCTGCGTTGAAGTACACGGTGCCAGAGGGAGCATCTGGGTTTATTGGATTCTGCTACACTGCTCTGGATAACAACTGGTAAAGAATATGAAGTGGTTTTTTTCATTTTACTAGTATTTTACTAATAGCTTTCCTATTGTTCACATGTACCTACAAATACGATGTCGTAATATTAAATAGTCGTTTTCTTCATTATGATCATCACCACCACCACCGTCATTCAGCATTATCATCACCAGCACCACCATAATATTATAATACAAATAATAATGACAACTGTAGCAATCAGCTAACTATTAATTATCTCTTACAGAAAGCCATGTAGTTTATTAAAAACATTAACGTTATCAGGTGTGATATCTTCCAAATGTAACCTATCTTGTCTTTTCAGGGTTCAAAGTCTGTCTCTTATACACATCTAGATGTGTATAAGAGACAGGCCTAGGTGAGCTTCGTGGGTGTGCTAGGTTCCGTGACTTTTGGACCTCGCAAAGTTCAACCTCAATAATTACCATTTTTTCAATCACAGACGCGGTGACTACAGAACCAGTAGATAACGAGCCACCTGTCTTGATTTCTGAATTGTCAATTCCTCCTCCCGCCGGTGCAAAATTCAGTAATAAGAAAGGAGACGAAGTTCCTGAAACGTGGAGTTTAACATTCACAAAACCAGTAGGGCCAAGAGTTTAAATAATTACTGTTCCCACTTTTGTTTATCTGTTCCGTTTCATGTTGTCCAGAAAGGCTCTCGTTTGTCTAGTGAACTTTAAAATATTATGAAATAATTCCTTACTTTTATATATTTTGATTTAGCTTTCAAATCAATATGCTGATAAATTTGTTTTTATCTAATTAATGGTTTCCATACAATCGCTCCAGTACTATCGCCGACAGCTTACGGTAATGCTGATTGGTTGGTCGAATCGGGAAGTCAGGGACTACTACGCAGTACAAAGATTGCACTGAAATCACTGTAGCGATTGTATGTAAAACCAAGCTTAAAACGTTATCGCTAATACGCCAATAATCTTTGCATAAACTTTTCAACTGCAATTTTGTTGTAAACATTCAGCAAATCAGTGAAAACCTGTTCCAATCTATGCTTTGTTTGAAGTTGGAAACTCCATTGTTTATTGTTATTGACTGCATCCTAGGTTTTACTATTATCTAGAATACTAAATGATTTAGCGAGGAAAAGGTTAAATTATTAATTTTTAAACAATAACTTTGTGTTTAAATACGTGATCTTATGATAGCAAACGCTATTGCAATGTCAACATATTTAAGTATATTTTCTTATGGAAGCTTATATAAATCTATAAGACCTTAGTTTATTAAAACTACTTGCGAAGTTGAGCAAAAAATAATATTAATGTTATTGAAGTTAATTATACAAAGTTTCACCGTTCAGATTTATATCAATATTAAAAATGTCTAATTGAAAGTGCCATATTTTTTATTTAGTTCGACAGACCGAAAAAGCCTTCGTTTATCCGCCTCAAAGAAAGTGGCCGCAAAAAAACAGAGGAAATTGCAAAATTTAATGTTGCTAATCCAAGAGAGGTTGTATTTGTGGACGGTAAACAAAGTGCAACCGTTAAATTCAAGCCACCATTGAAAAAATTAAAAGATGGTGTCAGCTACATAATAGAAGTTGATGCTGGAACAGCTATTGTCTTCCAACCTGACCCATGCGGAAATGCGCCCGCAGAAAATCCAAATCCAGTGTCAATGTATGGTTTTGAAACAAAATCTTGCAAATCTACGCCTCCACCAAAAATGTTGCCCACCGAATCTACACCTTCAGAAGGCAAGCCTATGACAAGAGGAAAAGCATGGCAAATCAAATTCAATACTAAGGTTTATATTTTTTATCTTGTCTATTTCTATGTAAATATAATAGGCTATTCTTTATTGAGGGGTGCCGCTGTTAGCTTATGTTTTCTTTTTAAAGATAGGATATTTTGAAGTGATGTTCGGCTAGAGAATAATATTCCATATTATAGATTTTTACTACATTCTCAATTTTATGCATCCAACTCTAAAAAATATTGTATGTTAAAGATGACTTAGGCCTTATTTGTTTTTAATTTAATTACATTCACTAAAATTATAAAATAAGAATACGTTAAATCATGCTTTAGTTAGAACGCGGGGTCTACAGTTCGCCTCCAATTAAAGACCTTCCTATAATTCCAAGACCACTCTATTCCGAGACCGCTTTTTAAAGTACCAACTACCAATCTTTAATCATTTAACACAAAGCAACGTTTTAATTGAAGATCGAACCCCGAGACCAACACTTAAACAGGACAGACAGTAATTTTCTTGGTTGGATTTAAACCACCGTAACCTATAATGATGTTCCTTTAGTGAATTTTATATGTATTTCTGGTGTCTTGATGTTTTATGTCTTGGGCGTTTTCCCTTTGTTTGGACCTTGAGTCTGTGGAACCTGTCCTTTTGCTTCCTTTTTTATCTGTTTGTAAGTTGCAATAAATTGAATAAAGAAAAAAAAAGTAGTGTTTCATGTGTTATTTTTTATTATTATTCGGTCTGTATATTATTTATCATATATTGTTGACGGGCTTCATTACAGATTAAACGTCCTTCGAATCCTGCTTTTATCAAAGACGGCAATGTTGAAGTTGCCAGTTTCGATACGTCCGACCCGACCCAAGTTGAGTTCCCGAGTGATGACGCAACTGTACTGCGGTACACACCGACGTTTGAAATGGAAGATGACAAACAATATTCGCTTTCTATCGGCAGTGGCATTGCAGTGGCTGCAAAGGCAGGGAAATGCAGAAACGACCGGAAAGTGAACGAGAATGTTCTGTCTCACTACAACTTTTTATCACGTGAGTAAATGTATGAATAGCAAACAAGAATTATATATG